CATAATAATAATAATCTTACTTTATTCAATACTAGTATGCTTTATGAAGTGCCCTGAAAATCTAATATAACTTTCAATTTGGGACCAAGTAGAAAATTAATCCCTTCCTTCCCAAAGTGGAATTAAAAGGCAAAACCTGTTTCCATTCAGGATTGAGTAAGAGAGGGTTATTACCTCTATCAGGTTCTTTTTTTGCCATCCCATCCCATTTGGGAGATATCCCTTCACTACCTATCCCATAGCCAAAACAGGACGTGAAAGAAAATCCCTCAAAAGTTACATGGTCCCAAATTGTCAGCATAGCAGTAGTGTCCTCATTAGAAGACCTTCCCGCTGTTCCTGCTCTAGTGACAACCCAAAATTTGTGTTTTACTTTTGAGAACGGTAAATAGAAGCCGAGTCTCTCCAGGACACAAACAGCAATAAAAACCCAACAGGTGTTCTAATCTCTCTCCACTCTATACAAAATTTTAACAAAAAGTGTTGCCTTTAATTATATTTTATTGCAGCTGTTCCTTGTGCTTATGATATGGAAGTTCAGATCCTACCCAATAGTTAATGAAAGTGGAATAACCCCAGACCCATAAGGTTATCTTACTGGTATTGCAAGGTGTAGGTGATCTGGATCTTGGGCTTCCACACCCCAGATGACCACCCAGTCTCCTTGGCTTATAAGGTAATATAAAGCACCACACCACTGCCACAAGGTCCAGCTCTCTTTCAATTGTCCCCCTGACCTTGAATACAACAAAATTGTAGCAGTGGTGTGGCACTTCAAATTATATTTTTGGTAGAGTCTACCAGGAGTCTCTCATATTACAGGTGCTGACAAAACATTTCCAGTTTGACAAAATCATTACCAGTCTGGCGCAAGAGAAAGGAAATACAGCAGTGCATATACCAGATTTCTCTTGTTTTTCAGCAGTGTAGCAATTTATCTACAGAGAACTATATAATAATAATAATTAAGCTACAGGGGCATCATACAAGCTAATAGTACCTTTTGTGAGCTTTTGCATTGTCCATTCAGGGAAAGAGAACAGATTCACTTTAATACTGGGCAACCAGTAACATTTACTGGCTATATTTTCTCCCACTGCATGGTGTCCTTACTATGCTTCCATGTCTTCCACCAACAGCACCAAGACAGAAAAATTCAGCGATCTATATATTATATTTGTACATGCATAAGCCAGAGAAGATAATTTTGTTTTCCAGATAGCCTTGCATGTCCACACTGTGTTGTATATACTGTAGTAGTCTTCCAAATCCAAACTCTTTATGCCTTGAGGCAGATAATTATTAAATTGGCAAACCTGATTGAATAAAAAAAATAGTAAGTTAATTGCTTCCCACATTTTTCTTTTTTGTGAAAAACATGAAGACAAGGTTTTGTGGTTTCCAGCCTAATCATATCGCTAATTGTCATTTTGCACAATTAGATTTTATGCACCCAACAATGTAGGTGCTCCAGTAGGATATTAATGCTACATATACTGTGCAATATCTGCTGAGTTACCATTAGTTTTACGGTTACAGAATTAAGAATTATTTGAGTTGGAAGATTGGAAGGCCTTCCTACTACACAGGAAGGCATAGCACAACTTCCTGATACAGGCCATGTACGACCATCACTATGTTCATATCTGCTACAAATACTTGGAAAGTCCCCAAGTTGTAACAGGAAGCAGAGTAGATGACAAACATGCAAGTAAATTACTTCATAAGGCTATTGTTCTTTCATGTCTGTGGGGAATTCAGTAGCCCATCATACAACCATGCCAATAAAAGTCTGCATTTCCCTGCTTCATAATACTTTTACAAAATAAAACAAAATAAAATAAAAAAACACTTAAAGTGGAACTACACTGCATCTGAGCACCACAAACCAAAAATTAAATGTAATTAATTTTTAATATTCAAAGCAAAAAAAAAACCTCACCCATCCATCCATGTCTCCATGCTTTATTTTGCTGAGAAATCATTTTGAAAAACACCCCTGGCATTTCTGGCAGTGGCCATCTTGAGTAAGGGCAGATGATTCATGTAGCAATTACTTCCTGGAATTCATCTGCCCTTAACTCAGGTATAGGCTGAGCTGAAAACCTGCCGTATCCTGAAGAGTACTGGGATGTATGATATAATCTGCCTAAACATGGAAATCAGGAAGCAAGCTAAAGAAATGCAAAAAAAAAGTTTAAAACTAGTAAATATGATATACCAAACAATCAGAAATGGACTTCATGAAGGTGGCTCGAGGGCTGGACGTCCTCTATTGGGCCCTGTGCTCATTGCCATAGAGCTCTATTGGCATTTACCATTGAACACCAGAATTGGCAGGTCCACCACTGGTGCCCTGTGCTTTTCTCAGAAGAGAGCAGGTTCACCCTGAGCACATTTGACAGATGTGAAAGGGTCTGGAGAAGCCATGGAGAACAGCATGCTGCCTGTAACATCGTTTAGCATGACCGTTTTGGTGGTGGGTCAGTGATGGTCTGAGGAGGCATATCACTGGAGGGATGCACAGAACTTTACAGGGTAAACAATGGCACCCTCCAAATGACTGGCTGAACCCTCCACTGCCTCTGACATGCTGATAACCTGAGTAGTTATTGTAATTTTAAGGTGTATTTGTACATTCTCCTGGTCTTAGGGACATTATACACGCTATAACGTACACTAATATGGGACACTTCACATTCCCACATGTATTCCTCTGTTGGTAGCAATTGCCAAATGGGCATCTCGGATAATCTTTTGATGCAGCCTTTTTGTTTGTAATCTCTCTGGATATATCATTTGACTTTTCTCCACCCCTACGAGGGGTGGAGAAAAGTCATGTGAACCATTGTTATGTCTATTGTATTTCCTCAATGTGTTACACAGTTCAATAAAAAGATTTAAAAAACACAATTGTACACTGACTGCCATTAGGCATTGGGTTGAAATGCTTGGACCCATTGTCAGACCCTATGCTGGTGCAGTGGCTCCTGGGTTCCTCCTGGTGCACGACAATGCCTGTGCGAGATTATGCAGGCTGATCCTGGGGGATAAAGGAATTGATACCAGTGAATGGCCCTCACGCTCGCCTGACCTTCATCCAATAGATCACCTCTGTGATATGCTTCAGTCCATTTGTCACTGCCAGGTTGCACCTCAGACTGCCCAGGAGCTCAGTGATGCCCTGGTCCAGATCTGGGAGGAAATACCCCAGGACACCATCCGTCGTCTCATTAGGAGCATGCCCTGACATTGTCAAGCATGCATACAAGCACATGGGGACCATGCAAACTACTGAGTTTTGAGTTGCTGCAATGAAATTTCAGCAAAATGGACTAGCCTGCTGCATCATTTTTTCACTTTGATTTTCAGTTGATCATTTTCATTTCCATCGAACGATGGGGCATCCTTACTTTCCTAAAACATTACCCAGTCCATATCAGTATAGATATCCAGCATGATATGTTTCCCCATTGAGATCTGATGTGGTTTCAAAGTGTTCCTTTAATTGTTTTGAGCAGTGTGTGTGTGATATATAGAGATTATATATATATATATATATATATCTCTCATCTATGCAAGTATGTATTCTCAACTCCAAACAGCCTTCTCCACTTTCTTTTTTTTGCAACTGTGATCCAACTTCCAATTAATAGGTAGCTATGTTTGTTCTTCATGATCCCCCTGTATATTGCAACATAACCACTCTCTCTTGCTCTCTCCCAAGATGGACTATGGAGAGTGTAGTGTGCATAGAGTAGTACACATGACTGCAACCAAGGTGAACTGCTCGTTTCAAACAAACAGATGTGATGGGAGGACAAGAGGTCTACAAGCTCACAGAAGATGTTACAAGGAGGCAAAAAAACACAGTAATAATTTCATGAAAAATAAATCTTTGGGAAATAAAGACAACAGTTAGTGTCAGTTTAAGTTTTAGAGACATGCTAGAGTCAGGCTTATGGGGTTTTTCTACTAATGATGCAAGTCAATGCACTACCCGTTTTATTACCAAGCACCCATGTGAAGTGAATATAGTTTTCAATAGATAAATAGGTGCAAATTCTGCACCGCATCAAAATCGCACCCCATTCATGCGAACTGCTGTGGGTGTGTATGTTAACCCCTTCCCGCCGGCGTCTCCTGGCCCTTTAAGAGTTTCAGACACCGGGAGGTGGGGCGTGGTTTAGGGATCATGTGACCGCTGTGACGCGTTGTCACATGATCAGGAAAGGTCCCGATCAAAAGAGCAGACTGGGACCTAACTTACTGATCCCGATCGAAAGAGCAGACCGAGACCTTTTTGTGAGTACCGCACATGTGCTGGGAGCGCGCAAGGCGTGTGCTCTCAGCACGTTTTTTCTTACATGAACGCAAATGTGCGGCCGCTCAGCGTCTAGCCCCATTTGTGTGCGGCTGGAGTAAAGGGCTTAACAACACACCAAAAGCGGTCCCCAAAACGCGGTGCGATGTGCAGAAATGGATCGCATAAGTGTGAATACCCATGTGATCCAAGTCTAGTAGGGACCAAAAAAAAGGGTCCTGTACTTTTTTGGTGCAGTGCGATTAGAGCCATACATCATATATGGCTTCAATCGCACCACACACAAATTGCATGCGATTTGCACAGGAAAGCGGTGCGTTTCCTGTGCAAATAACATGCGATATACTGCAATGCATATGTGAACCCACGCTAAAGCAGAACATTGCAGTACGTTAATGCACATTTGCATTAAAGCAGCATATTCATGAATGAATCAGTTTAAATTAAGTAAGCTTCATGAGCATGACCCTCCTATTCCTTTCTTTTGATCTATATTGTACTGTTGGCGCTATACACAGTAAATCCTGTATAATAATAATAATAATAATAGATGAATAAATGTGCATGTCTTTTTTTTTTTAATTAAAAAAAGCACACCACCACACCTGGTGCATTGCAGTCTACTGTACAGTGCATTGGGGTGCACAACACAGAGCTAGTGCACTGCCATGCATTGTGGCAACAGCCATTGACGCATCTGAACAAATGTGTATGGGCCCTTAAAGTGAATTGGTGGTAGGATGAGGACGCGGGCACCCCCTCGTACCTGTATTAAACCTGCTCTCAAAGTTTGGGGTACTATATTACTGAACAACAAGGGTTCTCATGGCTGCTTTGTGGCCTGCCTCTTCTTACACCCATTCCCACCAATCACACAGGAGCCATTATAAAAATAATGCACTTTTAACAAGGCCATAGGCACACGTCAACACTGTAGCCTTGGGAAGTTTTAGTAATGGAAAGAAAAACTAGTTATCAAACCCAGCTGTCAGATTACAGGATTTATTGCATGTTTTAGCATCTGAATATGTAGGATGGAAAAAACATCACATCTGTTTTTCTGCTGTTCTTGCTAGTTCAGAACGCAAAGAAATGCTGGTGCTAATGAATTAACTTAGTCTTGAATCTGCTTATTTCAGATCCAAGCACTATGATACAACAGTGCATATAAATTAAGCCAACTCATGTAAATGCAGGCATCTGTGTGCGTAGGTACATGCAAATGGTGCACAAGACATAAAAAAACATACTGTCTAGGTGAAGACTAAGTCATGGCGGCAAGTTATTGGGCTCTGAAGGAACGCAGACAAAGATGGAGGGAAATGAAATGTACTTTTGGAGCTTTCCCAAGTTACATTAGGCTTCACATGCCAGTGTGACAATCATTATCCTTCTTAGCCAAAATCAACAAATAATCAGAAAGAGGAGGAGGACAAAGATCATCTAAAATTGCCATGATAGTGGATGGAGTCTAAGTTTGTGCTTTAGCAAACTGTCAGTTACAAGTTACAATTAGGCCTCATTCACATGGGGAAAGTAGTTGCATGCCCTGTGCATGTAACCAATTGCTTAACAGTGTAGTGCTACTTCCTAACAAGTCATTACACAATCATGAAAGAAATGACAATGAAACTCACACTAAGCAATTCACTATTCACCATCACTTTGATGTATATGTAAGTTTGAGCTTACAGCAACAAGGTTGCGGTATCACTTTCCATTGTCATTTTTTCATATAAAAAGAGTTTCTTTTTTTTTTTTGTTTGAGATAGTAGAAGTTGTCTTTCATAGCACTGGGAATTTGCAACCACTTACCTGTGTCACATGTAATGCATGAAAGTTTTTTTTTTAGAGATTGAACAGAACTGCATTGCGGAGTTTGTCATATTTCTTTAATGATTGTGTAATGGTTTGTTAGGAAGCAGCACTTAACTGTTAAGGAATTAGTTATCGGTTGGATGTGGGAACACATTTTAGTGTTAGCAGCAGCTTGTTTATTTTGAATTTCCATTGGTGTATTGTGTATTGACAGTACAGGGAAATTATTTGATTTTTAATGCCCTGTGAAGGGCTTTGTTACCAGAGCAGGTATGCACAGGTTGCGTGTATTCCTATGCTGGCAGTCCCATGAATATGTATTGGAACATGCAGCTGCCATGTGATATCCATGCGGGTGTACAGCCTCGAACCCACCCAATTCCATAAAAATGTAAAATTTATCCCTGGCAGTGGGGCTGTTCCTGTACTGCACAGGTCAATCGATCATTCTGTCTAGTGGAGAGGAGAAACAGTTTTACTTAGCCTGATCCTCCGTTTCCCCAACAGATGGCCCTAATCCACGCTGGAGGGAGGAATCCAGGTTTTGGTTGAGCAAAGTTTTTTTGTATTCCCAGCCCAGCGGTCACTAAATGGCAGACCGTGGTCGAGAATGGCCCCAGCAGCACTCCCTTCTGCTCCTCCAGTCAGCAATGACAGATCCGCCGCTGAGCAGGGTGTTCATCATGGCAACATAACACAGTGTGTGCCTCACCCCTTGCAGCAGGAGAGTAGATAAGGGGGAAGTCAGGGAGGTCTGAACCCCCCAGAGGAGAGTTGCCAACCATCCCTGCAGCCCTCAAAATTTCCACTCACCCACGAGTGGAAATAAGGTGAAGACGGCGAGCAGTACCAGGACCAGGGGGGTGTGGGAGGGGTGGTGGTGGAGGCAGTGACAAGTAGCGATATCCTTGTGCTTTCAATAAAGCAGCTGGAAGCCACAGGAGTGAGAGGAGGAGAAGCAACTTCCAGCTGCTTTATTGAAAGCCATACAGATCGCTGCTTGTCACCACGACCACTGCAGCAAAGAACATACCTGACGGTTCAGTTTTCTTTCTACCTTACCACACACACACACACACTCCCACCACCGCTGTGTTCTTCTCAATGCCCAGCCGCTCCCTCCCCCTGTACCCACCCCCACTTCAGTCCATGCAGCTTCAGAGGATGTGTGGGCAGGAAACTGAACACAGCAGTGACAGCTCTGATGCATCTGAACGAGTCACGAGTCCAACCTACCTTCCACCCACCCACTCCCTTACTATGGAAATTGTACATTTCTAATTTTTATTTTATAGACATACAGTGACTACACTCTAAGTCATAGCACAAACATGAGAGTTGGACCTCAGCCAAAAGAAGATTTTAGTGACTAGACCTCCTTGAATTTTAATTCAATACCCCTGCTTTAGACCAATACACGCAATTAACCCTTGCAGGGCAGAACAGCAACACTGCAAAAGGATAATTTGTTACTTGTCTATAGTAGAGCTTTAAAAAGGTAGAACCTGGTGATCCTGCCAATTGTGCTCCTGCGCTGTCAACCTGTCACTTGAATTCCTGCAGTGACTAAGGTTGGCCACAGAAACACACAGGTATGTTGCACTACCATCTGAAAGCCTTCCAAATACAATGATGTGAAGCTGATGCTGGAGCAAGTGCATGTAGCCAGGCTGCAAGAAGTTGGATAAGATCTGCAGAACTGAGATGCAAGAGAATGAAAAATGTATTCAAAGAAAACCCAGCACCAGATGACATCTGTATGCAGCCTAATCCGATTTGTTAGAATAGTGCAGACTTACCCGAGGGATTACTCAAATTTTACTTTTATTATCTCCTTAGTGCCGATGTGTCAGGATATATAGCCATTTCCTGCCCGAGTTAGGTGCGGACAACAGACACTCAAAAATCATAACAAAAAAGGTGTTGTCAAAGTTACATGGCAGAAAACTAAACACCTTTGTTAAAACGGACAGTTTAACCTGGGCAGCCTAGATAGAGTTTCAATTGTCAGGCTTGAGCTCCACAGGACCATTAATAGAGAGCTGGAATTTCCACTTCAATAGGGGAAGGGGTAGAAAAGAACTGAATAGTTAAAAATAAATACATTTAAAAAAAAAAAAACCCACAATCATTCCATGAGAGGTAAAACTTTACTTTTAGAAAGTGCTTATAAATGCCCAATCCTGACTTATCTTCAAAGTGATGTAAAGATATAGAATTCAGCAAATTCCTCATTTATATAAAATTGTAATAAGCATCACATTGCTCATGTATAAATACACATACAATGCATCTGTAATGAAAGAGTTTAAAGCGGAGCTCCAGGATCCCTCCCAAAAAATTAAAAGTCAGCAGCTACAAATCCTGTAGCTGCTGACTTTTACTATAAGGACACTTACCTGTCTAGAGATCGAGCTCTGTCCTCACCTGAGCCAATTGTTCATCTTAAAGCAGAGCTCCACCCAAAAAGGGGAAGTTCCGCTTTAAGGACCGCTCCCCATTAAGGATTGGCACCTTTGGGGGGCGGGGAGCAGGTACCCGAATTTGACTGGTACTAGCTCCCACTTCCAGTCTGAAGCGGAAGGTGTCCTCCCTCCCTGTAGTCTTTTGGGACATGTGACAGGTCCCAGAAGACTACAGGACCATTCATGAAGTGCAGCGCTACTCCCACAGTAGGTACCCAGCTGTGAAGCCGCAAGCTGTCACGGTCGGGTGCCCACACTGAAGATGCCAGGCTCCTGGCATCCAGGACGGCCAGTGAAATGGGCTGCTGGTGCGTGGAACTCCACTTTACGTAAGGAAAACAGGTAGTGAAGTCTTGAAGCTTCACAGCTGGTTACCTACTGCACATGCGCAAAGCGTGCTGCTCATTGTGAATAGTCTTCTTCTGGGACCTGTGAGCTGTCCCAGAAGGTTGTGGGGAAAAGAGGGGGGTGACTTCCAGTTTAAACTGCCGCAGCGCATCTGACTGAAAGTGAGAGCAGGTACCCATCTAAAGAAGGTATCTGCTCCTCCCCAAGGATGGAGGATATAAACAAGCGGAACTTCCCAGATTGGGTGAAGTTCTGCTTTAAAGGGATATTAAACCCTAATTTTCTTTAAGCACTTTCAACAGCTCACTTAATCACTTACAAAGAATGCAGCATATTTTAACCCTTGCTTATGTTAAGCTTGTGCCATGACCACTGCCCAAGGTTTCCTGTTTCATGGGGACTCCTTTCTCTTGCAGTGTCCTATGGAGCCACCCCTGCATGCAGGGACTGGAGTTGTGTCTTCTCTGATGCACAGTGCATGCATCAATAGAAACACACAGCTCTCTAGCCTAGGATTGCAAAGCACTCAGCTGCTACTCCATCCCCCTGTAGACTGCACTGTCCACTGAGAACCCTTCCCTCTGAGAACTGGAAGTTCAGGGCAAGCAGCACTGAGAGAATAGGAACCAGCAGCATTGAAAGTTGTAAACTGGAAGTAGTTTATTAAATTATTTACTGGGGAATGTTTATTTTGCCAATGTGTTAAGCTTTTAAAAAAAAAAAAAAAAAAAAAAAAAAAAAAAGGGAGCTGGTTTTCTAGTCTCCACTATGTAAATCCATAATCTAATCTATGCAAACTATCAAGAGGCTATGTCTAGTCTGCATCTGCAATGGAGGAATGCATTCCCTGGACCAGCGGTTATGGCACTAAACACTGTCTGTGCAGGGTTCCAGGACGATGTAATCTGATCACTGCCTCACCAGCAGCAAATGCCAACAATAGGTTTGATTTTGATTAGTTTCATTAGTCTTGGCACAGCTCTGCAATTACATCAAGTGGGTATGATATTCCCATGGGGAACTCTGTGTATATTGTAACTTCAACATGGGGGGAGAAACACACACCACAGGGAAAATTCTGATACAATTCATTTTACCAAGTCC